CCCCCCCCCCCCTTGAATAAGTGCCCCTTCATTATAAGTGCCCCTCCTATTGGCCGAAATTTAAAATAGGCGCCCCCTCGAATAAGCGCCCCTTCCCTCCCCACCATTTTGTGGATGACTAATGACACAACAAAGGCTGCACAGTTTTCGTCATGTAGTATTACAATGGTACGTTGTTTCAGTCTGTGAACACGTTTAGTGAACACGATTTGAACTTTAGGATCAGCTTTTTATGTCAATAAACAGCTTATGTTGGTGTTTATGCATAGATGATATATCAAAAAAATTATCATGTCAGGCCACGATTTGGGAAAAATTAAATAAGCGCCCCCTCGAATAAGTGCCCCCTTGAATAAGTGCCCCCCGTCTACTCCTAAATTTGAAATAAGCGCCCGGGCGCTAATTCAAGGATTTATGGTAATTATATATTATGTTATTTGAACTCGTACTCAAGAGTGAGGACTATAGCTTTTCAACTTGATAGCTTTCACTATCCAAATCCATGTCTTTTGTACTCTGCCTTGTGTTTCTTTACATTGTGTAGTTACTAAAAGAGTTAAAATAGATAAAATGGACTCTTGCAATGCGGTAAATATAAAAGAAGAAACCTACGTTTACGCTGGACAAGGTTAATAACAAAATCCCAAATCGAGGCCTTTGGAGCATNCCCCCACCCCTCTGGAAATTCCAATCAAGCCTTATACATTTCTTTAAATATTGTGGTCTTAAAGAACCCCCACACTCAGGACATTCTAATCCCTTCTGCGGGGTATGGATATTTTCTGGAACTGCACATTTAAAGAAGAACACAACAATCTAAAGTTTAACAAACATGTTTCGGCAGATGCCTCTTCCATTTTCAGTGTGAATTGAATATAGTAAGCAGAGTGTTTCTTTACATTTGCATAGCCTTTAGAGATAACAGTGAACCAAAACTTAAAGTTTCTAGCAAGGAGAATAAAATCTGATGTGGGCAGTCTGTAACTTAGTGTCTACATCATGAAAAATTGCTGCATGTAATATAAGCCAATCCAATCCACCGTAGGAAAAAAGATGGTGGCTGTACATTTTACCACAATGCCTTGCGAACCTAACACAGCCTATAAGGCACAAAGAAAGCCAAATTTTTACAATATTTTTCCGTATGCTAAGGACATTGAGTAGCCTAGGTTTGAAGATTTTATAACGTTTCTGTACGTTTGTATGAACTTTGTTAAGGTTTTCGTGCGCTAAGAATTATTGGTAAATGTACCAGTCGCCATCATTTTTCCTATGGAGGATTCCACACTGCTGAGGTGCTTGAGAAAACAAAAATATATCGTAAATTCTCTTACCTTCGCAAAGTAGCCAGAGGCTCATCTCCTTCCTTTTCTCCAGTTGCAGGATTGACTGTAGTGAGTATACACCTTAGAAAACAAATGAATCTCTTCTGAGAATAAAACTCTATTAAAACTCTCTCAAGAGTTTTATTAAAAATATGCATCCCGGTATTAATAATAAATATCTTTGTAGGAGGTACAGGTTTTCACTAGCCCATAAACATAAGCACCATAATAACATTGTGAAGATGCAGTAGGAAGTTGATAATTAGCACCTTTTTTATTTATTGAGAAACTTTCCTAACGAAAGGCACTTCTTAACTGCACCTTACTGCATATGTTGCTCATGCTTAATATGAGTTTGAGAAAACCAAAGGATTCCCCTCTGATCCCTTTTGTGCACTTGACAGTTTTGGCCTACTGATCAGTCATTGATGATTAATTAATTGATGCAAATTAACTTCATAAAATAATACATGTTGACAGTGCCTCACCTTCCACAAGGTTTAAGATGTCTAAATTCAACATCTCCTACTTTGATTCTCTTTCCTGCCCATTCATCCTACAGAAGAACAAAGGTTGTTAACATTTTAAGTAACAGGTGCTGAAAAAGGAAGCAATATTTTATTCCAAACAACATGAATTATATGACTGTAACTGCAACAATTATGGGTAGTCATGTTGCTGGTTACTGAACAAAGGATGGAAAAATGCTTCCTAACACCCAGAATTAATTGTCTTTCTGAATGAAATTACAACAGGATCTNATGCAGTAGGAAGTTGATAATTAGCATCTTTTTTTATTTATTGAGAAACTTTCCTAACAAAAGGCACTTCTTAACTGCACCTTACTGCATATGTTGCTCATGCTTAATACGGGTTTGAGAAAACCAAAGGATCCCCTTCTGATCCCTTTTGTACACTTGATAATTTTGGCCTGCTGATCACTGATTGATGATTAATTAATACAATTAACTTCATAAAATAATACCTGTTGACACTGCCTCACCTTCCACAAGGTTTAAGATGTCTAAATTCAACATCTCCTACTTTGATTCTCTTTCCTGCCCATTCATCCTACAGAAGAACAAAGGTTGTTAACATTTTAAGTAACAGGTGCTGAAAAAGGAAGCAATATTTTATTCCAAACAACATGAATTATATGACTGTAACTGCAACAATTATGGGTAGTCATGTTGCTGGTTACTGAACAAAGGATGGAAAAATGCTTCCTAACACCCAGAATTAATTGTCTTTCTGAATGAAATTACAACAGGATCTCGCATTAACATTGAGGCAGTGGAACCTTAATCCACTTAATGGAAATCCTCTCTAAGTACAAAGTTAACATAGCCATGCTCCGGGGTAAGATACAACCCTAACAATTAGCCAACACCTCTCCTAAGGAGACGCTTTTTCAGGTCCTCATTACTAAGCATTTCTATGTATAGTTACAGGAGGTTTGTTGCATGCACATTTACAGTACATGGTGTTTAATAAGAAAACATTGAACATACATGTAAAGGTTAAGTCTGCATACAAGCCAAGGGGCCCATCAGGCCGGAGCTTATCCCGGTTTCTGTAGCATGAAGCAACTGAGAGTATCTCTACTCCCCCCTGGATGGGATGCTAGTCCATCACAGGGTTACCCCCAGCATTAAGTTTGCCTAAACACCTGGATGGATGACAAAAATTCACCTCTTCAAACCCTGCTAAGCCACTAACAACAACATTTGGACGGAATCTCTCCATTGTAACTGGTGATGGAAGTTCTTCATTAACTGCTGCTAAAGATGCCTCATTTGCAATCAGGTATGGAGCAAAATCTCCAAAAGACACCTCGTAAAAAAGAAAAAAAAACAAAGATGACTTATTTGACAGCTTAGAGCACACATTTCCAACCTTTCCCAGACTGGGAAGTAAAACAGGGATTGAGAAAGTGTAAAATAATATAATTTAGTGATTTCTTTTTCAAGGCCAAATACTCAGGTTCAGAAAGGGTAAAATAGACTGCATAACAAGCGTTCCCATACAAGAAAAGATTGTTCTGAGAGTATAAGTGGAGAGCTTCTCCCCAATTTCTCAAAGTCAGAGTGTAGAGAAAGCACTTTGCTGGTGCCACAATCTTTGCTACTCTGACGCAGGCTGGGGTGAATAGTTAACTAACATCACTAAAGACAATATTTGCATCACAATTAAACAAATTGAACTAAATGTTCCCTTATAATATGTACATTGTAGTAAGTATGGTTTCAATTATAGGATTTGGAGATTTTCATAATGGTCCACCATTACAACACAGCAGGCTCTTATTTCAAATTAGGAAAACTAATGTGTAGGGATTTAAGTATCTTAATTGAGAACACAGCACAATATAATCAGGGACACTTAACCTTGGACCAGTCAACTGGAGTCAAACACATCAACTAAATAATTATTGGCTTGAAGCAACTGCATCTTCTACCAAGAGTACTTATTAAGGACGTTCACACTAATTGTTTCTGAGCATCCTTACTGCGCACACAAATTCACACGCCACATCATGCATGAGCGTGAGCGCTAAGTATTAAAATGAACAATGATAGGGCAGATGGCCATTGCTATAGCTTTTCCTGGATTTAATGTTCTTGGATGTTCGGTGACCCCTATTTTTTCTATTGATGGATCATTCTCCACCGATTTTCCAAGTTCAGTGAAAAAAAGAACAAAATCTATCGACTAGAAGTTTGAAGTTTTTGCAAAATACACCATTGAATTTCGTTCTTTTTAGCTCTTCATTTCTCTGTGTGACAGTTTTAAATGCTTCTTGAAGGGTTAAGTTTTGTGAAAATGTCGGTAAAATTTGGAAGTACAGTATTTACACAACAGACCCACTTCTACAAAATATGACTAAGATTTTTAACAATAAACCTCTGTAGACCATGCTGAGCTACGTGAGTAAATTTTTCAAAATTAGGGCAGTTTTCTACCATTTTATCTCTGAAACGAAGTTGGTGTCCCCCAAATTTTTTTGCATTTCCCACACCAGTAACTCATTATCTGACCACACTAAAAATTTTAAAAAAATCTGTCGACAGGAAAATTCTCGCGCGAACATCCTTAATATATAATAGGAATTAAGAAAAGAATTAATTTCCATTTATTACCTTGTCTTCTGGTAGCCCAACATCGCCCCACTTTTCATCTTCACAAATTACTCTAGGCTGAGACAGCTGATACATTTTATAGCCAGGTTTACTCAAGTAATTTGAGAACCACTGTGCCGCCTCATCTCCAACATATCGCCCTTCTCCATACATTCTCCAGACCCTGCGAAAAAATTTTCAGAACACGTCTTTCTATCTGTATTTCAGTGAAAACGAGCACAGAGTGTGTTTTTTCACGCTGCAGCATGTGTGACCAAAGCTTTCATGAGATATCTTGTAAGTAGATGAAAGCTAAATGTATGCCATTTAAAGCAGTCAACATGAGGACTGTCATTTGGTGTATGTTATAACAAGCGTCGGCAATAGCAGGTTGTAATGAAAATGAACTAATTTTTGGTTATGAAGTATCAGGTCTGCTAACTAGTACTCTTTGAAGATTTCCAGTTTCTGATACTTTGATTTCAGTTGTTCCCATACATTTCTTTGTAGCTTCAGACAGGAATGTAGCTTCTGTCTGTGATAGTAGGTGTCCATAATAGCAGGGTGTCCACAAGGTGAGAGTTATCAGTATTTTGCAAACTAAGGTGGTCCTAACATTATGCTGGTAAGAATTAACTAATCCTAACTTGTAAACAGACAGCACACTTACTACATGTACATGTATGCCAACAAGCTGGTATACACAGTGTACCTCGAACACTTACCGAATCCTCTTATATTCTTTTTTATCTGCTTTCAACACTATGTCCACTCTCAATGTTTCCATTCCTGGTGCATTTAGGCAGAGATATTTTTCGTCCTCAAAGTGTGGAACAACCAAAGCTAACTTTGGATCTTTACGCTGAGAAACAAAGGCATCATTCTCATCCACAAGAATCCAGCGTCTTTAAAAAGAAAAATAAATAGATGTAATTAAAAATGTAACATGTTTAGATGAAGTATGAGGAAAATTACAAATTAGTGTTGTTTTGTTGATTGCGTGGTTACCTAGCACGTGATCAAAATCTGCCTCACAACTAAAACAAACTGTGTTTAGCACAAAATCTTAAAATTTCAACATTTTTGCAAGAATTTTGCAGTTTCACCCTATAAAACCTAACACGACATTGACGTATCAAAGCTGTAGAAGCTGTATGCAAAAAGAAGCCGTATTTCTACAGCAAGAATGAAGCCCTCATGCTCGTCAGTATTTTTAATTTAATTAATTAATGTACAAATCCAGCCAAATCCTTGTGGCAACCTCTTCGGCAAAACATACAAATTTTCTGGTGGAAATATACTTGGGAGCGGCCGAAATGAAAAGTATTATCAATATTATTAAAAAAGACATTGATTAGTAAGGCATAAAAAACTCTCAGTGCTCCTGAAATAGTTTTTCATTCAAACGAAGATGTTTTCACTCGACTGAAACTATTTTCCATTCACCAAAATGATAGAAGAAGTCAATACTCAGTTGAAAATCTTGCGATTATCGACTTTTATCAACAACTTGAACTTGTCGATTGAAAATTATCGAGATACATTGAGTACTAGATCCCCTTATTGACTTACATGAAACAAATTGACGTCAGTTTTTTATGCATCTGTTCTCTTATTGATGATAAATTGCGTCATAACATCATCAAAGTGGCTGTGGAACCACCAGCCGCAGGCGAGTGGTTCCGCAGTATACTTGGACAATGTTATGACGAAATTTATTATCAATAAGAGGACAGACCCATTAAAAACTGATGTCAATTTGTTTTTTTACAATAAGACCCCAGAATGGTCCACATAATGCCGGCACTAAATGAGGGTAAAAGACGCCCTAAACTTGCCATAAACAAAGATAAATGAATGTTATTCAAAATGACGCGAACATTGTCAATAGCTTTTATCGCTTTTTGATTGGCCACTTAAAAGAGTCCATAAAATCTCATTGGTTAAAAAGTTGGCAGTTTGACAGCCAGAAGTTGAACTTGAAAGCTTGCATAAATTAAAATTGTATCCGTCTATACTCTTAGTGATGATAAAAATGAGCCAATTAGCGCGCGAGAAATTAGACAGTTATTGCAAAATACGTTTTCGATGATCGATTTTGATCAACATGTTATTTTCGGGCACGTTTTTGTCCGAAATTAAAATCGTCCGAAATTTTTTGCAAGTACTGTAGACTGTGTAGAGGACTTCGAATTTCATACCATGTAAACCGTGTTCTCAGTGTTCAATGTTCAATAAAATACCCAGATATTTAAGTATTAACCCTTGACGGGAATACGAACTCGTCTAACTTACCTATCATACTCCATTCCTTCTTTGAAGCATTTCACATCGTCCACACGAATTCCTTTGCAGGATTTGACAGGATAAATGAACAGGTCTGAAACTCGCCCCACCTCCTTGTAAGATCGTCTTCTCTCATTCCGTTCCCACCACAGTGCAGCAAGACCCGCTAAGACTACGACAGGCAAACCGAACAAGAGATATTTTGAGTAAGAGAAGGACGCCATCAATGAAAAGTTCTTTTGAACGACTGCCTGCTGACTCGCTCCTGGCTTGGTAGCCTGGTCTGGCGGACTCAGACCATAACAAATATGGCGTTCGCTGAACCAACAGAAAAGAAAGCGAGACTGAACACTGCTGTACTTGGTGAGGATATCTCATCAAAGTTTCAGACAAACCAGCAGAACTCTGACGTTGAAGTCGATCTTCGTTCTTTCATAGAATTCAACAGCGCGAAGACAGTCGTACCCAAAGCAGTGCTTGCAGACGAATACAGGCGGGATTTTCAAACAGGTTTTTCACTTGAGTTCGCTTGTAATTATTCGAGACTTTTCCTTCTAATTGAACCCTTACATTTAATTTTTTCAGTTCAAGTCTATGCTGCTGAAATAAGGGACAGGACGCAAACGTCACAACTCATAAGGTACGCCTTGAGCGAGCAGCAAAATTAAAACGAATTTCCAAAGAGATTTCCTTTTCTCGCGCGAATTTTTTCTTGATCTTGTTTAACTTTCTTTACAAGCTCGAACTAATGTTTTATTTTGCAGAACTCTCAACGATATTTTCCCTTTGTTGAATATGGGACATTTGAAAAGGGTTCGATGCCTCAAAAATGGTAAAGGTAAGCTTGCGTGGGTTCTGAGTTTCTCTGTGTATTTTATAAAAAAATCAATTTGCCGAACAACAGCAAATTTCTGTTAACCTTATTTATTAATCAATAAACTCAATCTTTTATATTAAGATAAGAAAACCGCCGTTTTATAGAACGAGAGGGAACACTGTATTTGTTGTACAGAGAACGTAATTTAATGTGTAAAAGGAATCTGCACCTTAAATTTTCCTAATGTAGTATGTGATCTCCCATATGGTCTAGCGGTTAGGATTCCTGGTTTTCACCCAGGCGGCCCGGGTTCGACTCCCGGTATGGGAACAGATAAATTTTTTTTCCTTCCCTTTAAACTGTTTTTTTTCCTTTTTGACTTTTTCTATCTTTACTTTTATAAAAAAAACATCTTTATATCTTTTTTATCTATTATTGTGCAGGTCCAGAAAATAGCCATACCCCCTCCACTCCACAGATGTGATTGGAATTTCCCACCTGGGGGTGGGGGTTCTCTAAGCCCAAAACATTTAAAGAAATGTATCAAGCTTAATTGAATTTCCAGAGGAATGGGGGTCTTGGAAAAAACCCCTTCTGTGGGGGAGGTATGGATATTTTTCTAGAACTATACATTCTTCCATTTGAACTTTTTTCCCCTTTTAATCTTCTTCTTTTTCATTATTATAAAAAATATATGTTCATATCTTTTTTATTTATTATATTATTGATTTGGAATTTTTCTGAATTTCAGATTCGGTTCTTCAGATTGTTTTGCATTTGAAAGAAGATGGAAACATGGATTTATTTAATCCATCAATTGAGCAACTTTTAGAGCAAAATGGCATAGCAATAACGTCTCTTGGACAGCCCTTTGTGACTGATGTTGCAAAGTTCCCACCACTGACAAGAGAACAGTTTAATCAAGCTTCAAAGCTTTGGCCTGTCAGCTTCCATGAGGATAAATGGTATGGTCGAGGTATTAGGTTATTTACTGGCTGTAACTGATAAGAAGATGGAGGAGGAGATAGGGGGAAGGGTGTAGGGTTTGCGTAGTGGTGAGAGCACTTGCTTCTCACCAATGTGGCCCAGGTTTGATTCCAGCCTGGTGTCATATGTGGGTTGAGTTTGTTGTTGGTTTTTGCCTTGCTCCGAGGGTTTTTCTCCGGGTTCTCAGGTTTTCCTCCCTCCTGAAAAACCAACATTTCCAAATTCCAATTCGATCAGGATCGCAGACCTGCATGAAAACCAGTTAGGGTTGATGTGACTTCCTCCCTAAATATTATTTATTTTATTTAAATATTTATTTATTCAATAATATATTTATTTAACTTTTTGGGTAGGGCAGCATGCCAAAGTCTCTCTTGCAGATTTGGAAAAATAAAGTAATTACATGTACATCATTGTATTTATACTTGAAAAAAGGTTGTGTAATTTATATCAAATGTAAACATAGACAACAAAAGTAGCCTCTTTTCAACCATCTCTTCTTGTTGCTTTGTTTGCGTGACAGAAATCTGAACCAAATGCCTGCTAAGGCCATCCTGTTACATCACTGTTAAAAAAAAATCAGACATTTGCATGTCATCATTAATCATTCAATTTTTTCTGTAGAACCGTAAGCAATGAAAATCACTCCGATATAAAACCCTTGGACCTTAACATAATTAATTCGAGACAGGTGTTAGTCCACTTCTGATGAGCCAAGTCCTGTTAAAAAAAGTGTAAAACATCTTCTTCTTTTATTAGTATGTCACTACGTCAGAGTTATAATTATTTTATGGTGTTTAGTATTTCAAGAGCACTGAGAGGTGAATTATTCAATGAAGATGAAATTCTGGTCATTAAGAAGTTTATGAGGATGGCATTGACAGAAGCAGAAAAGATGGATTCTGGAAAGGTGATTTGCATGAATTCTGGTTCATAGTTAATCATTAGACAATCTGTAATGTCATCCATGCACCCATCCATCCCAGCATTTTTCTTTCTGACATCCATCTGTCCATTTGTCCATCTACACTTCCACCCACCAACCATACATCTTTCTACCCACCCAGCAGCTCAATGAAGAGTTAGTTTGCATCAGCCATTAAATTTCAAGGCATGTTGTCTATGTAAAAAAGGCAACAGATCATGTGTGAAAGATGATAATTATAATGGGGTTTCATTGACATTTTCAGCGGGAGGGCAACTGGTTTTCATAGGTGGGCAAGACTTTTTTGAACTGAACTTCTTTATAAGAAAAGCTTTCCTCTAGATGGTCAAACTAGACGGGCAAAATTATCCTCCTAGCTGGTCGATTTGCCCAGTGCCTGGCCCTTAATGGAACCCCTGCATGTATAATGCTTAATTAATTTATTATCCCAATTCTGATTTTAGGACTTACAAGTGTTTAATCTGCTTGAATGTGCTGGCCCTAGCCTTTTTGTGTCTTTTTTATTCATAGTTTCCTATAGGTGCTGTGATTGTAGACCCACAACGGAACCACCCCATAGCTATGTGTCATGACCTGCGGTGTGCAGGACACCCACTTCAGCATGCTGTCATGGTCTGCCTTGATTTAGTGGCACACAGTCAGTCATCAGGGGCATGGCAGCTGGACTGCTTTGAGGAAAATGGAACATGGACATTGAAAAACAATGATTCACAACCACAGCAGAGAACTCAATGTTCTATTCATGGCAAGAGTCATTTTATGCTGGACTGTAACTCATCAGGGACAGGGCATTTAGTGGATATAAAATCAACTGATTGTAGTGAAACTCGTAACAGGTCAAGTGATGCTGATGACAAATCCAAGTTAGGGCCTTATCTGTGTACTGGATATGATCTTTATGTTACAAGGGAGCCTTGTGTTATGTAAGTAAATTATTTAATAGTTAGTTATTTAGTAGTAAAAGAAGACAAATTTATTCTAAGATAGTGTTTAATAGAAACCAAACAAGCTGTTTGTAAGGTCTCCCCTGTGTCTATCCATTTTAGTACATCTAATTCTATGGTACGTTCCAAAAAAGCAAAAAAAAGAAAGAAAGAAAAAGAAAGAAAAAGCTATCATTTGTAATTATCTTTGCTTGCCAAAGATTGATTGAAACTAAACAAGAAGATCTGTTAGATCTTATAACCGCGCTTTTAAAATTTAACTGTTTTCTTAGTACCACAGTCGCAACGCAGTGCATATTCCAAAGCAATCTTTGATGATTCATTGATTACTGTAGACATCACAGCACTTGATCAACACAAACTCTATTATC